ACGCAGTGTGAGAGAAGGGGCTGGAGCGTAGCTCGGACTCCGAGAACGAGGGAGGGAGGAGGGGAGGGAAGGACTCCTGAAACTAAACCTCGTGGGTACGGAAAGGATGACAACGTGTCGCCAGCGCTCAGGACCGTGCTGGGCACCCGGAAGGTGTTACGTCACCGTGGAACAAGGCCCAGAGCAGACCTCGTGGAATGACCCGCGTGAACCAAGACGGGGCCCCCACCTGGCTGCCGCGGCGCTAGCCTCTTCCTCGTGGTTCTCGTTCCGTTGATGCTCCCCGCTCTCCACAACCTCCTGGAGTTCCTGGTCCTTTAGCTCCACGGGAGACACGTCCACCTGCGAGCACAGGAGGCTCTGAGAGGCGGCGTGGAGGGGTGCCTCCACCCGCGCGTCTGGTCCTCACAGGGGATCCCGGTGGCGCGCTAGAGCGTAGGGCGGACAGCGAGCGAGCGGCGCCCCTCGTCCCCTCCCGGGCCCGGTCCACACAGCGAGGGGCCTTGGCGCGGCGCCGGTAGCGCACCGCCCGCCCGCACGGCCTCTCCTCCATCAGGACCAGCCGTTCCGTCAGTCAGAAAACTGGGCAGGAGGCGGCCCCAACAGTAAGGAACGGCCCCCGGGTTCAGGTCGGCGGGGGAAGCGCCGGATCCCGCCCGCCCTTTGCCCCGCCCGCCGCCCACGGAAGGGAAAACAGCACCTCACGTACTGCCTGGCGCTCCATTTCGTCTTTTCCCGCCTCGGCGCTCCCGCCCTCTGCTACGCCTCCGTCCTCTGCGCACGCTCCGCCCTCTGCACGCCCAGTCTTCTGCTACGCCCCGCCCTCTGCACGCCCAGTCTTCTGCTACGCCCCGCCCTCTGCTACATCCTACCCACCTTCTGCACGCGCCCCGCCCTCTGCACGCCCCGGTCCTCTGAGCACGCCCCGCCTTCTGAGCACGCTGGTCCCCTGCTACGCCCCGCCCTCTGCACGCCCTTGTCCCCTGCGCACGCCCCACCTTCTGCTACGCCCCGCCCTCTGCGCACGCTCCGCCTTCTGGCACGCCCCGCCCCGCGTTGAATTACTCCCTGGCCCCGCCCCCAAGCTTTACAGAAGGCCCCGCGTGCGGTTAGGCGCCAGTGGAGTTATGCTGGTCCAGCGCGCACTGGCGACCCTGTGCGACTAAGGTCGAAGAGAGCATTTGCGGGACTCGAGGTCACCTGTGGCACTCCGATTACAGTCTGACAAACTCATACTGTACATCGGCGTTCCGCCCCTCTGTTCTACAATTTTTTTCAAATTCTTCTGAAACAGGGTCCCACCCACAATGTCCTGGCCTAGGACTCTTACATAAACCAGGCTGTCACTGACTACAGAGATCAGCGTGCATCTGCTTCCAGAGTGGTAAATTAAAGGCAGGCATCCCCACGGCTAATGATAACCTGCGACATTTATTTATTTATTCATTTTTTTGTGAAGCAAGGTTTTTCTATGTAACCCTGACTGTCCTGGAATTCACTTTGTACACCAGGCTGGCCTCGAACTCAGAGATCTGCCTACCTCTACCTCCAGAGTATTGGGATTAAAAGCGTGCACCACCCACTCCAGGCTGTAATTTTTTTAAATATATTTTTATTTTATATGCATTGGTATTTTGCCTGCATGTGTGTCTGTGTGAGGGTGTCAGCTCTCCTGGAACCGGAGTTACAGAAGCTGTGAGCTGCCATGTGAGTGGTGGAAATTGAACTCAGGTGAATTTTTATACATTTAACCTACTTGTGTGTGTGCATGTGCCAACTCTGACTTCCCCACTGGGAGGAAGTTCAGCCTGGAGGGTTCCACTACTTCCTTCCACTTTGTAGGTCACTGGGATGGAAGACTTTGCAAGTGCTTTTACTCACACTGCCATCTGGAGGGATCTCTTGTCTTTAAATTTTTTTAATATAGTTTTTGTGCCCATACACATAAATGTTTTGCCTGCACATATTTCTGTACAACATGTGTGCCTGGTGCCCATAGAGGTCAGAAGAGGGATCCAGATTCCCTGGGACTGGAATTACAATTGTGAGTCACCACATGGGTGTTTGAAATTGGACTTATGTCCTCGAAAAAGCAACCAGTATCTTAGCCACTTTAGCCACTAAACTACCTCTCCAACCTTTTTTTTTTTTTTTTTTTTTAATGCCACATACCCAGCAGCTTGAGTGCTGGTGAGGAACAGAAGAATGGGATCAGGTAGAGTTCTCTAGAGCTATGGCTGTGGATTGGAACCTCGGTTCTTTATTATGTACAGCACAAGGCTTAGCTAATTTTGGTAGGAGGTATCTGTGGGTGAGCAATCTTAGCCTGTACACATCTGGAGAGTAAGCCAAAGTTGCTAATCTTTACACACATTAATTACCCATAAACAGTCATACTGAGGCTCTGGAAGAGGAGCTGCCATTCATTCCTCTAGGGCCTGGCCCATACAGGTAATGAGTCAGTTGGTCTTGGATTCCTCCATGTCCACATCAAAATACAAATCAGAACTGTACTCACTTAGGGCTTCCTCTATCCCCTGGATTTTTCTTTTCTTTCTTTTTCTTTTTAGTTGTTTTTTTTAAATTTATTTATTTATTATGAATACAACATTCTGCCTCCATGTATGCCCGCATGCCAGAGGAGGGCGCCACATCTCATTGTAGATGGTTGTGAGCCACTATGTGGTTGCTGGGAACTGAACTCAGGACCTCTGGAAGAGCAGCCAGTGCTCTTAACCACTGAGCCATTGCTCCAGCCCTCTTTTTAGTTTTTTCAAGACAGAGTCTCATTGTGTAGTCCTGGTTATCCTTGACCAGGCTGGCTTTGAACTCACAGAGACACACCTGCTTCTGCCTTCTGAGTGCTGGGATTAAAGGCGTGTGTCACTACTGCTCCCTACATTTTCAAATATGGCATTGTGCAGCTCAGGCTGGCATGGAACTCAACATGCCATCTAGGAATGCCTGTAACCCAGCTTTTGGGGGCTGAGGTAGGAGGATCTCCAGTTTCAGGCCAATCTGAACAAAATGGGCTGACCCAGACTCAAGAAAAAACCCAATCTAAAATACTGAGGCTAGAACATACCTGTGGTCCCTGCTGTTTGGATAACTGAAGCAAAATTACTTAGGCCCAGGAGCCGGGGCCAGTCTGGGCAACACAGAAGCCCTGTCTCAAAAAAGGGAGCTAAACCTGAGGATATAATTCAGTTAGAGCATTTGTCTATAACACACACCCTGGGTTTGATCACCAACACAGAACACACAAATGGGTAATAAATTGGAATGGATGCATGCGAAGGCCCGGAAACCAGCTCAGGATCAGCAGCACTAGAAGTTCTCTGGCAGGACAGCAAGGACCTACAAGCGGCCATAAACAAGACACTGCAACAGGAGCAAAGGCCTGGTGTGTTACACCTGTCCACATAAAGGAGGCATGAAGGAAAGCCGCAGTCACACTATATAACTCTTCTGAGCCGAGCAGTCGTGTAACTACACACCAAACTGGGACATATCTTGACACCTACATTTTGTGGAAAATGACTATGAATCTGGATTTTTACCAGCTAGGCAATGGAAAAACTGGTACTCTCCTTCATTTATTTTTGGGAGTCAGAGTTTCTGTGTGTAGCCCTGGCTATCCTGGAACCGGCTCTGTCTATCAGGCTAGCCTCAGAAATCCACCTGCCTCTATATCCCGAGTGCTGGAATCAAAGGCATATACTACCACCTGGCTGAAAAACTGGCACTCTCAAAACACATCCCCGTTTATTACTGCTGTGATAAAAATCTAAAATAACACTGTTGTAAAAGTTACAAAGATAAACATCTGGCAGATCCTAAAATTTATTGACAGGAGGCAATAAACCTAAGTGCTGTCAGGCAGTGGTGCACACCTTCAATCCAGAGTTTGGGAGGCAGAAGCAGGCAAATCTAAGTTCGAGGCCAGCCTTGTTTACTGGGCTAATTTCAGGACAGCTGAGGCTACACAAAGAAATCCTGTCTTGAAAAAAAGGAAGGAAGCAAGGAAGGAGGAAAGAAAGAAATCTAAGTGTTGTGACATGCATCTATAATTTCAGTACTTGGGAGGCTGAGGCAGAAATCTTAAATTTGAGGCAAGCCTGGGCTATAGTGATAACCTATGTAGACCAGGCTGGCATCAAACTCAGAAATCTGCCTGCCTCTGCCTCCTGACAGCTGTGATTAAAGTCGCGCACCACCACCACCCGGCCTAAAAATTAAGACATATATGCAGACAAAACGACCATAATCATAAAAAACAAACAAACAGGCAGTCCCAGAAAAGCAAGTTAAAGTGCAGGTGCATGAAGCTTTATGTAACTCTTTCCTCAGAGTTCATGAATCTCTTTTTTCCAGTCTAAGTACATGGCCTAGGCTGGCCTCAAACTCATGATGCCCCGCTTCAGCTGCTCCAGTACTGGGAGATTTGATCATTAGGGGGAAAACTAAGAGCAGCTTCTCACCCCACAGCCTTGCTCCTACCAAGCATGGGAATGCTGGCTTTAGGCCATCACCCACTAAAGGGTCCTTTCATCAAGAGGAGTTTCAGTTATTCAGTAGACGAGGACTGGGCACCAGTCAGTGACTAGTAAATGCCAGGAGCTTGCTGTGTATGAGTTCGATCCACATAAAAAAAAAAAAAAAAAAGGGATGTGCATTTATAATGCCAGAGCTGGAGAGATGGAGGCAGGAAGGTCCCTGGAGCTTCCCTGTCATACAGGACATGGACAGTGTTCCTAAGAATGACACCCAAGGTTGTTTTCCACATGCACCTGAACAGATAGGCACACATCCATTAAAAATAAATGTTGAGTGGAATCACAGACCTGCCTGGGTTGCCTGGGACCTTCTAGAATCTCAGACCATGGAGGATCCAAAACCCTGACTCCCAGACCAACAGACCAGGAACTGTCACCCAGTTTTCTCCCACCAAGCAAGGCAAGGCCCACAAGTCACCTAATGAAATGAACAACAACAAAGAATCCTAACAAAAGGCACTGCACAAGAGAAAGTGCCTACTTTATTAGACAACAGCTGACCCGCAGGGCCCAAATCCACCCTTACAAGAACACTACACGCACCACCAAAGGCCAGCACAAGAAACCTGCTTCCTGCACTCAGGACCCTGCCCCTGGGTGGGTGAGCAGAGGGAGTGAGCTAGCCTCACAGAGGCCTCATAAATATTAGCAAGGTCACCGCTGGGGGATGCACAGGGACTGGACAGAGCTCTCTGGGGCAGCCTATATCACGCAGCCTCCTGTGTCTGTGAAGACCTGGGCTCGACATCCAGGCGGCACACAGGGCTGTCATATACCATCTGCAGGTTCACCTTGTGGCCCACCAGCTCTCGGATGTTATTGATGCCATACTTGATCATCGTTGGGCTGAGAGAAGGAACAGTTTAACACTAAGTCAGAATAGGCTATCTTTTGCTCCTCAGAGGCTCCCATCTTTCTCAGAAGAGAAAGTCTTCCCCATGGTGAAAAGGATGTACCATTGGCCCAGTCACTTCCAAGCTCATCTTACCCCCCACTCCCCACTCTGCTGGCACACCCCATGCTGAATCTAGATTCCGAGCCTTTGCACAAGCTACGCCTTCTGTCTGGTACATCCTGCGAGCAAACTTCACTGCTTCCTGGGCCTCCGTGAAGCCTTCTTGACCAACTAGTCTCCTCAGTCCTGCTTTATCCTCTCTATGGCACTTCCTGCCATCAACATTCTGGCCTTCTGAGTTTCCTTATTGGCCCTGTTAGTTGCCCTTCCTTTTCTACTAGGATTCAGGTTGCATGGTATTGAGGAAATATGCTGTGGTGTTCACAGCTCAGGGCCCAGCACAAAGCTGGGTGTTCCTATTAAAGAACTGTCAGAGGTATGAACAAGTGAATGACAGGGTCATCCCAAGCCCCAAGCTCCAGTCTGGGCACTTACCGCTCCAGGGAGAGACCCCAAGCAATAACAGACACATTCTCGGGGAGCCCCATGGGCAAGAGCATCTCAGGGCGGAAAACCCCAGAGTTGCCAACTTCTACCCATTTCTTTAGACCTGTGGGGATAAAGAGGAGATCAGAGAATACATGTGGGTGATAGTGCCCAGAGAATGGGAAGTTAGGTTAGGAGCTTAGGAAAGAGGGTGACCCAGGTCAAATGTGAGGCCCCTCAGACCCCGCTCCGCAATCACTTTCCCACCCCTGACCTTGGTGGTAGCTGAACACTTCCATGCTGGGCTCTGTGTAGGGGTTGTAGGCTGGTTTGAAGCGCAACTGGGTGATTCCTGTAGGGGTTGGCCAAAGCAGGCTGATGACCCAAGAGGCACCCTCTCAGGGACCCCAAACACTTCCTGTCTGGAGTGGCTTGCCTGCTCACCCAGCTTGGTGAAGAACTCCCTCAGCACACCCATGAGGTGGCCCAGGGTCAGTCCATGGTCGGCTACTACACCCTCTATCTGGTGGAACTCAGCCAAGTGGGTGGCATCCAGCGTCTCATTCCGGAACACACGATCAATGGAGAAGTACTTGGCTGGTGTGAAGGGTTTCTGGAGAGAAGAGGTGACAGCCAGATGAGGCCTGATCCTGGCACGGGTCAGAAGGTTTATAGGACAATACCAACCACCCACCCTGCGCAGGCCAAATTGTACCTTCTGGGCTAAGCAGTAGAGGGCGCGGGCACTGGCTGCTGTGGTGTGAGTGCGAAGCAGGTTTTTCCGGGCCTCTTCTAGCTTCCAGTTATACTTGTAGCTTTAAAAAAAAAAAAAAGTAATAGTCTGCCCTGCGGCCCTGGAACCCCAGCCTCCTGCCCCTCCTCAGTCCGAGTCCTGCTTCTGCCTCACCCCTGTGAGCCATAGCCACCCTGGGAGTGGGTCCGTTTCACCCGCTGAACATAGTCCATTGGGAGCTGCAGGGCCTCAGCGGGATCTAGGCAGGACAGAGACATGCGATCAATGAGCATCTCAGAAGCTACTGCACATCAGTCAGGCATGTTTCCAAGGAAGCTCCAGTGCCCCAGCAGCTGGAGGTACCTGGCACTCCTAAGATGATGACATATTCATCTAGAACCCCTAGTTCCCCATGCTTTCCTCTTCACTGTGTAACAGCCCGAGTTTCCCTCTGGCTCTGACCCGTTACCTCCTGCTCTGGTCTCCTCCCATCCTACTTGGCCGTGGCCTCAAGTTCCAGGGTCACCAACTGACATTTCAGCCTCAGAACCTTGCACTGGCTACAGCTTCGAGCTAGAGGGTTCACACCCTTCTCTTCCTTACTTCCTTGTCTTTGTTGAGGACTTTTTTTAAAAACTGGGATTCACTGCAGCTCTGGTGGGCCTGGAACTCCCTCTGTAGAGCAGGCTGGCCTTGAACTCAAGAGATCCACCTGTCTCTGCCTCCAGAATGCTGGGATTAAACATGTGTGCTACCACCCCAGCTTGCCTAGGACTGAAATGACCACAGCCTGCCTAGCCCTGCAGGCACACACTAGTATCTGAGCACAGCCTGCCTAGCCCTGCAGGCACACACTAGTATCTGAGCACAGCCTCCCTAGCCCTGCAGGCACACACTAGTATCTGAGCAAAGCCTCCCTAGCCCTGCAGGCACACACTCTGCAGTGGTTTCTGCCTCCTGCCCCACCAGATTCCTCAGGACACCTAGTCAGGAAGTGGATCTCCCTGGGGACAGGGACTTCTGCTCTACTCAGGGCTGACTCAGCTCATCAGCAGCAATGTCGCCATTCAGGAGGGTCTTCAGAGAGGCCTTGTTCAAGAAATATGTGATTCCCCCCCGCCCAATGCTTCCTAGAACCCAGGGCCTTCCTCAGGTTTGGCAAGTGCTCTAACACTAAGATGTACCCCACCCACCCAGAAGCAAATAAACAAAACAAGTTTCTCTCCTTTTGGGGAATGTATCATTTCCCCTGCTCAGCATGCTGAGTGCTGGTGACTGGGAAGAGCCACCACACCCAGCTCACGCATGTGAATTCTCTGGGAATGTTCACACCATAGCTTTGGTGCTTGGATAAGTCTTTAGCATGTACCAGCTCTGTTGCCCTAGACAAGTGATGTGCTTTCTATGCCTCAGTTTCCTCAACTGTAAATGAGGGGCTAATAGTACTACTTCCTGTCATTGGAAGGTTTACAACAATGGAGTAGAAGATGAGTTTTGGGTACCATGACAACAGCAAGATCACTGCTACTAAACTGGCAATGGTCACCTAGGGAGTTCATCTGTTCACCTCCTAGGGGAGAAGACCACCACTGTGAGAAGCCACTCATATAACTCTAAAGGGGCTGGCCTGTAATTAGTGACAGAACTTCCAGAACTGCTTGGGTTCCATCTCGAGCAGCAGCAGCAGCATACACACAGAGGAAACAAATAATTGGCCATGGTGGTCACACTTACAACCCCATCATGCTGGAGGCTGAGGCAGAAGGACAAAGACTGAGATCAGTCATGGTTACATAGTGACTTATGGGCCAGCCTAGACTAGAGTAGGACCCTGTCTCAAAACAAAACAATCCACAATAGTAAGGCAAGAAGGTCTTAGCACTTAAGAAGCTGAGGCACGAGGACTGACATAAGTTCAAAACCAGCCTCGGCTACAGTGGAAGACAAACTGAGAAAGACAACAATAACCAAAAAGAAAGGAAGGGAAAGAGGGAGGTGGGGGGGAGGATGGGAGGGAGGGAGGGAGGGAGGGGAGGTGATGGACATTTCTAAAACTAAGGACAACACGCTTCTATTTAAAGATTTACTTTTATTTTTCAATTATGTATATGCCTGTGTTATATGCCTGTGTGTCTATGTCTAGGTATATGCACATGACATTGGGTGCCTGAGGAGCTCAGAAGGTATCAGATTGCTCAGAGCTGGAGTTGGAGGTTGTTGTGAGCTTCCAACACAGATGCTGGGAACTAAACTAGGGCCCTCTGCAAAAGCAGCAAGCGCTCTTCACTGCTGAGCTTTTTCTCCAGCTCACATACATGCCTCAGTTTAGTGAACAGGATTCCGACCCCAAACAAATCCTTGAGAATTCACATGGTGGTGAGAGAGGGGAGGTGACAGCCAGGCTGGCTCTCAGCTATTTATTTATTTATGCCAGAGACAAACAGAATCCAGGTTCTCATATGTACTAAGTGCTAAACTGATGATAAACTGATGAGCCACACCCCAGCCCTTAAGTGGCATTAAAAATCTGTGACATGCTAGGCATGGTGGCACATGCCATTAGTCCAAACTAGGAAGGCAGAAACAGGTGTATCTTTGTGAGTCTGAGACCAGCCTGGTCTGCACAGTGAGTTCCAAACAGCCAATGAAGTTCTGAATAAAATAAATACTGCCATGGATTGTGGCATATACCTTTAAGCCCAGCCTTAACAAGGCAGAGGCAGGGGAACTCCTGTGAGTTCCAGCCGAGCCTCATCTACATGAGCTCCAGGCCAGCCAAGGCTACATAGTGAAACCCTCTCTTAAAAAAACAAAAACCAAAAACTAACTCTGGGTGGCTAGTACAGGTACAACACAGGTCACGGCCCCACGGCAGGCAGCAGTCTGGCATGTTCAGAAAGCAGAGTCTAGGCACAATGGAGAGAAATTACTAGGGCATGGAACCGGCTGCCAGGGCCTCGCTGACTACAGTAAGGTCAGATTTCATTTTAGGAAATGAGATACCTCTTCCCTAAAGCTCCCCCCAGACCTTGGCGAGGCTCCCAGGCACCGACCTCTCAGGAAGAAGGTGTCGTGTTGGTCCCGTGCTGGGTGCTGCTGAGGCTGGAAGAGGGCATCGAAGTTCCAGAAGGAGCTCTCAATGAAGTTGTCCGTAGGCATCTCCGTGAACCTGCAGGAGACACGGACTGGCTGTTCTGCCTGTGCCAGTAGCTGCCACACCCCACCCCAGGCCCTGTGCTCACCCCATCTCCAGGAAGATCTGTCGGAACTGGGAGCGGACCTTGAGCAAGGGGTGCAGATGGCCACTGTCTGGGAGCACCCCTTGGGCAGAGAAGTTATAGGGTTTGAAAGGCCGGTCCCTCCAGGAGCCACTGTGGGAGGGGAAAGTCAAGATACAAAGATATGAGAAGGTCTGTCCAGACCTCCCCACAGCCTCTACCCTAGGGTCTCCTTATCCCACCTGGAGATCATCTCTGGGCTCAGCTCTGCCTCCTGCTTGGACACACTTGTGCTGAAGGCCTTGCCCTTGCTCACCCAGTAGGTTTTCAGGATCCTGTGAACATAGAAGAGACATTTCTGTCAGTTCGAGAGCCTTCCTTCAATTTGCCATTGAATGTTAATCCCAGATCATTGAGTCACTCTGGTTTTAGGCTGTTAGTTCTTGTTTTAAAGGACTCCATGTATCCCAGTCAAGAAATACCTTAACCTCCGGCTTCCACCTCCTATATGCTAGAACTACAGGCCTACGACACACTGGGTTTATGTGGTGCTAAGGATCAACTAGGGCTTAGTGCATACTAATCAACCAAGCTACATCCCAGAACCTGCTCTACTTACTTACGTCTTTGTTTATTCTAAAGAAGGTAATGTTACATAGTAAAGGCTGAAATTAAAGGCGTTTGGCACTGTATTCCACAGTGTCCTTATTTGCTTTTAAAAACAAAAACAAAGGAGGAGTTCTATCCAGAGAGAACCTTCATCTGGCGATGGATGGAGATAGAGACAGAGACACATATTGGAACACTGGCCTTAACTCCCTAGATCCAAATGAGAAGCAGAAGGAGGGAAAACATGAGCAAGATAGGCAGGACCAGAGGGAACCTTCATCCGACGATGGACGGCGATACAGACGGAGACCCACATTGGAGCACCGGACTGAGCCCCCCAAGGTCCAAATGAGGAGCAGAAGGAGGGAGAAAATGAAAAAGGAAATCAGGACCGCGAGGGGTGTGTTCACTCACTAATACAAGGGGACTGATCGAATGAGAGCTCACCAAGGCTAGCTGGACTGGGACTGAATGAGCATGTGATCAAACCGGATTCTCTGAATGTGGCTGACATGGGGGCTGACTGAGAAGCCATTGACAATGGCACTGGGTCTTGTTTCGTCTGCATGTACTGGCTGTTTGGGATCCTAGTCTGTTTGGATGCTCACCTTCCTAGGCCTGGAGCGAGGGGGGAGGAACTTGAACTTCCCACAGGGCAGGAAACCCTGACTGCTCTTTGGACTGGAGAGGGAGGAGGAGAGGGAGTGGGGGGAGTGGAAGGGTATGGGGAGGAGGGGAGGAAGTGGAAATTTTTATAAACAAACAAATAAAAAAACAAAAACAAAAACACATAACCCTATGAGAAGGATTTTACAAGTAAGGACGCTGAGACTGGGGAAGGCCAAGTGAGTTGGCCAAGCCATAAACTTTAGCTAACAAAATACAGGGGCTAGACTTCCATTGGGTATAGCCCTACAACCCTAGGCTCTAAGAGGTTCTACGAGGCAGGCTTCACTGTGTAGGCCAGACCAAAACTCTCCTGTCTCCCTGAACAAGTATGCAGCATCAAATCTGGCTCAGTGCGGTCGTCTTAAATGATGCACAAGCAGGAATCTAATTGGCTGGCTGGCTGCCTGGAAGGTACACATTTCTCAGCAGCAGGTGCAGCAAGAGCAAAGGCCCAAGGGCTGCCTGAGCCCAGTACACACTCAAAGCCCTGCAGAGGGCTAGGTCCATGCCTCTAACCCAGCACTAGGGAGGTAGAAACAGGCAGATCTCTGTAAATTTGAGGATAGCCTGAACTACATAGTTAACATCAGGCAAGCCAGGGCTACACAGAAGGATCCTGTCTCAAAACCAAGGAACCAAAGAACTAAACAACAGTAACAAAACCCTGAAAAAAATGGGGTCTGGTGAAGACTGACAGCAGCAGCAACTGGATATGGGCTAGGCAGCCCCTCCATCCTCACAGTACCACACGAGCGAAAGGGCTTAGGCTTTGCAGTCACTCACACTTCGGTCAGCAGCTTCCTCTTCCGGAGCTCATTCCTCTCCTTTTCAGCCAGCTTCTCAGCCTGGCCTGCCTGGACCAGCTGCAATCGCCTCTGGACCTCATCCTCTATACTGTCCACCTGTCACAGGACAAAGGGAATGAGGGCTGGCGTCTGTCCCACCCGTCCTTCCATCTTCCTCCAGCCTGCCTGGTCATCTGCACACAGGACTTACCACTTGGAACACCCGGGGTCCATCAGCTGCACTCTTGTCCACTCGGATCCACTTGTTGGACATGGCCTTGCTGAAGCCCACTTTGCCACTGGGGTGTCGCTAGGGAAGTGGGACTGTGATGAGTACTGTATACCAGGGCCACCGGCATCCCATGCCCTCCCTGGACCCCAGCCCTGGGCCCTACCATTAGCTCACTCTGCACCAGGCCCTCAAGAGGGATGCTTCTAAACACACGGGCCTCATGGCTGCCCTCCCGAGCAATCTCCTCACCCTCAGCAGTCAGCTCCCAGCACTTGGTGGAACGAAGCTCAGCCTCAATAACCTGCAAGGAAATGAGTGACACTGTACATGTGGTCAAAACCACCACCACCACCTCTACAGCATTGAGCCAGAGATGCAAACACCCCAGAGCTGAAGAGACGCCTCAGCAGTCAAGAGCATGTACTGCTCTTATACCACACAGAGTGGCTCACCTCTAACTCCTAGTTCCAGGGATCTGACTTCTCCAGCTTCCTGGAGCATGTTCACTCACCTATACATATGCATAAACACACACACACACACACACACACACATATAAATAAAATAAATCAAGGCCATTTGTGATTGCCTTTAATTGCACTTTTAATTGCATCCATGCAAGTGGAGACCTGCTGCTTATGTGAAGCCTTGGTTTCCTGGGGAGAATCCAGCCATTCAGCGGTGGTGGCTGTGACTGTCATGCATATTCACAACTCTGCTGCACTGGAGAAGCAGCAGACAAGTCTCCAGTCGACTAGCTTCTCGGACTCCTTAATTTCCATCTGGAACTTGGGCAATTCCATTGCCATCTTCCTCCTGCCCCTGACCTGACTCCTACATAAGTATGAACAGATGTTTCTTTTTTCCCCTTCTACTTCTTATGGTTTTCTCATTCATTCATTCATTCATTCATTCATTCACTCATTCACTCACTCATTTATGGGGCAGGTTTCACTATGTGGCCCTGGATAGCCTAGCCTAGAACTCACTCTATAGATCTAATCTTGAACTCACAGACATCTACCTGCCTCTGCTTAAGAATACCGAGATTAAGCCGGACGGTGGTGGCGCACGCCTTTAATCCCAGCACTCGGGAGGCAGAGGCGGGAGGATCTTTGTGAGTTCGAAGCCAGCCTGGTCTACAAGAGCTAGTTCCAGGACAGGCACCAAAGACCAAAGCTACAGAGAAACTGTCTCGAAAAACCAAAAAAAAAAAAAAAAAAAAAAAAGAATACCGAGATTAAACGCCTGAGCCACCCCACACACCCAACATCTTAACTTTCTTTTAAAAGTTATTAATGTGTGCATGTGTGTGTGTGTGTGTGCATGTGTGTGTGTGTGTGCATGTGTGTGTGTGTGTGTGTGTGTGGAGTCAGGCGACAGCTTTTAGTTCTTGCCTTATACTTTGTTGAGGGAGGGTCTCTCTCTCTCCTGGGGGGGGATTGTTTTTTTAAGTCAGGGTTTCTCTGTGTACCCCTGATATTTTGGAACTCGCTCTGTAAACCAGGCTGCCTTGAACTCAGAGATTCACCTGCCTCTGCCTCCTGAGTGCTGGGGGGATTAAAGGTGTGTGCCACCACCTCCTGGTGAAGAAGGGTCTCTTACTCTTTGCTGTGCTGAACACTCTAGACTCGCTAGGCCAAGAGCTTCCTGGCAATTCTCCTGTTACTTAACTAGGGGTGGTGGGATTGCAGGTGTGCAAGGATTGAACTCAGGCTGTCGGGCTAATACGGCAGGAGCCTTTACCCGAAGAGCCGCATCCCTGGGCCCTATACTGTAATCTTGATCTGATCTCAATACTGAGGACCCTGGAACTGTAGTATGTACGTGTGACACTGGTAAGTCACCTAACTACACTGAACATCATCTGTCTTATGTGCAAGACCTAAAAATGATGTCATTATCCCGAGATTATGGCAAGGACTACAGAACACAGCTGAGACCACAGAACTTGTGCTCAACAAATACACAGCCCAGAACTTGGCTGCATGGATCTTGCTTCCTGAGTGGTCCACAAGCCCTTCACTTCAGCACAGGCCACTTGCTGATACTGGAAGGACGGGCTTCCTCCCTGCTCCTCTACCTTGCCCTGAACCTCGAGTCACCTGCCTCCCCACACCAGACACCATGCCCATCAGTGTGGGGACCTGCCAGGCTCAGTCCTCAGCCTCCCACCCCAGCCCTCACTTTTGCCTGGCAGTCCTTCCCAAAGATTATATAAAGAATACAACCTCGCTAGTGACAACTCCTAGTATGGTCCTCCACTATGCTTGTGAGGTAAAGACAGACAAATCAGGCTGTGCACGGTGAATAAAAACCTGTGATCTCAGCTGTTTGAGAACCTCAGGCAAGAAAATGGAAAGCCTGAGGCCAGAATGGTCTAGTTATGTGGTGAGTTCAAGGCCAGCCTGGACAAATGACAGCCTGTTTCAAAATATCCCAGCACTGAGAAGCAGAGGCAGGTAGATCTCTGTGAGTTCAAGGCCAGCCTGATCTACATAGCGGGTTATAGGATAGCCGGGGCTATGTAAAGAGACCCTGTCTGTAAGAAAAAACAAAAATAAAAACCCACAAAAAAAAGTTAAAAAGTAAAAAGTGGACTTGAGAGGTGTTTCGGTGGTTAAGAGCAATAGCTCTTACAGAGGAACCAGGTTTCATTCCCAACACCTACATGGAAGCTCACAATCGTTTGTAATTTAAGAGGAAATCCAACACCCTCTTCTGGCCTCCTCCTCAAGCAGGTACACATATATAAACATAAATCCAATAAACAATTCTTAAAAAAACACAAACAACCAAACAAAACCAGTCATGCATTGAAGGTGTGAGCCTTTAATCTCAGCCCTCTGTAATTGGAGGCCAGCCTGGTCCACAGATCAATTTACAGCACAGCCTAGAGCTTAATCTTGATGGTACAGCTTTGCCTAGCGCACAAGGAGGCCCTAATATGGAGATGAATGGGGATGAGGGACCCTATAAGCCAATACAATTCTGCTGTGATGGTCACTGCGGCCTCTAATCCCGATACCGATGACCTGCCATTGATGTCCTAAGTGTCATCATTTTCCTCCACCGGATCAGACTCAGGTATCACGAGGTCAAGAGTCACAGCTGGTTCTCTGAGCTCTCACATCACCAGGTCATCTGCACCTCCCCATCAGACTGCAACCCCTTTAGGGGTGATCTCGTCCTGTACACCCTTATAAGCTCCTTGCTTTTCGCCTTAATCGTTCCAGACTTCCCACCTGCTCAGCCCACGGCGCACCTATATGCAGTTTCCCATAACCAGTCATAATGGGGCACAGATGTAAAAGAGAGGCGGGCCAGCGGCACGCGCCGAGCTCACCTCACCCAGAGCCTGCAGGCTCTTCACGGCGCCCACCACCACCTGGTGCTCCACGCCCAGCTGCGTAGCCAACTCCCCGCTGTCCAGGCCGCCATCAGCTGCCTCCAGTCGCCGCAGCAACAGCTCCAACACCGGGTTGTCTGCCATGGCGGCTCCCAGTGTGCTTAGTGCGTGCTGGCCGCCGGGCGGACCCAGGAACCGGAACCGGAACTTCGAAAGCGCGTGAGTCGCCATTTTTAATGTGGCGCACAGTGCGATTTGGGGGCAGGCCGTCGCCATCTTAAGTGTGGCAATTAAACCTCAAATGAGCCTAAGGGATTCAGAACGCTTTATGTAGTTTCTCCCCAGCAGCGTTTAGTTAAATAGTGAGGTAAATTTGATGACTTGAAAGTCAAAAGTAGTTTCTCTTGATTTTTTTCTGTTTGTTTTATATCTTGAGAAAGGCCTTACCTAGCAGAGGCTAGCCTTGAACTCCTTATCTCTGCCCTACATCTCTTAAGTGCTAGTGTTACAGAGAAACACTGTAAGACCTGACTGAGAATAATTCTATTGATTCACTCCCAACACCCCGTAATTTTTATGCAGCCACTAACAGCAGGCTCAGCTCACTGCCACCCTCCTAAAATTCTCTCTCGCCCTGAGACAAAGCAGTGAGTGGGCTTCACTCATGGTTATTGTGTTGATGGTTTTGTTGTTTTCAGATGTGTTTACTTTATTTATGTGTATTTTGCCTGTATATATGTCCGTGCATCACAAATGTGCATGGTGCCCTCAGAGGGCAGAAGAAGTCATCAGATCACTTGAAACTGAAGTTATAGATGGTTGTGAAGCACCATGTGGATTCTGGGAATTGAACCATAATCCTCTGGAAGAGGACTTAACAGCTGAGCGATCTTTCCAACTCCCAACTCTGCTGATGATAACTACTCTATTAAACTGTCAAAGGAAGGGCTGGAGAGGTTAAGAACACTGACTGCTTTTCCAGAGGTCCTGAGTTCAATTCCCAACAACCACATGGTGACTCACAACCATCTATAATGAGATTTTGTGTCCTCTTCTGGCCTGCAGGCAACATGCAGGTAGAACATGGTATACATAATAAATAAGACATTTTTTTTCAATGTCAAAGGAAACCTGGGTAGGGACCATACTCACTTAGGGAAGGGGGTTCACTTAGGAACAGCCACAGATACAGAGTATGCTGACCTGCATGGAATACTTGAAGCTTTTAAGGTTCTCCCCCAAATTCATAATGTAGTTACTATCTAAATCTTCCACTTCACAGGAGAAAAAAAGAGGCAAAATGACAACCAACAGGGAAAAATTATAAATCCTTCAGCTGCCACACTTCCCTGTGCTCTCAGGAGATCAAAACAATAATATCTAAGTGATGCTTCTTTAAAACTATGGGTCTCATCCTGTGATTCAATGTGGGGTTTCCAAAAAAACTGCCAAAAGCAATAATAGGTTTCTGAATATCCAGTGACCAAATAACTCATAATCAAAGGCAGTGAGTCCAAGGTGTCTCAGGCGATGCATGGCCATGTTGAGCCATGCTACCACTGCAGCCTTAGTTCTTGCTTGCTAGCTTTTGTCTTTTTGGCAGGGATCATGGAGCACAAGTGGAGGTCAGAGGACAACTTTTGGGATTCAATTAACTCCTTCCACCCTTGTCCCGCGCTACCTTCTCGCCAGCAAGAACGACGCGGGGCACTTAGGATACTTCTGCAGTAAAGCTTTAATGCGTCTTGAGAAGGAGAGCATCAGCTTCCAAAGCGGAGACCCAGAATGAGGGGAACCCAGCCCTTATAAAGGAAACAGTCCTCGCTTCTGACGTGTCACTCTTGGATTGGTCCGCTGCCCATTATCCCAGATGATGCCTCGGAAGTAGGCAGGGACGCAGCAGTAGAGAGTTACCAAGCACATGCCCTAGGATTAAAGGCGTGTGCTACATCACCTTGAACTCACAGAGATCTGCCTGTCTCTGCCTCCCAGGCATTGGGACCAAAGGCGTGTACTACCACGCCTTGAGGTCACAGAGGTCAATCTGCCTCTGCCTCCCAGGCATCAGGACTAAAGGCGTGTACCACCACACCTTGAGGTCACAGAGGTCAATCTCTACCTTTGTCCCTTGAAGCAATGGAGAATGTGGTTGCGGCTCTCCACACACCCTGAGGTATAACTTGGTTCCTCAAGGTCTGTCTTTCTTTCTTCTGTCTGTCTTTCTTTTGCTTTTGTTTTTCAAGACAGGGTTTTCACTGTGTAGGACTGGCTGTCCTGGAACTCACTCTGCAGACCAGGCTGGTCTCGAACTCACATAGATCCACCTGCCTCTGTCTCCCAAGTTCTGAGATTAAAGGCAAACAAAAAAAATTTAACATTTTTCTATTATTTTCCAGTGCATAGCAAATTAGTGTCCCTTTGGTTACATTGTGTTAGAAATCTTGATTTTAATCAAAATTGCTCTTTGGGTGAGAGAGTCAGAGGGCCCAGGTTCAGTTCCCAGCGCTCACATGGTGGCTCATAACCGTCTGTAACTCCAGTTTCTGGGGATCTTATGCTCTCTGAGGTCAGAAGATGAAAACAAAGACTGCGTTTTTGTTTCCTGGCCACCAGACCTGAATAATCACACAGAAACTATATTAATTACAACACTGTTGACCAGTGGCCCAGGTGTAGTCCTAGTTAGCTCTTATATCAAAATCAATCTAATTAGGTTTGTGACAGCAAGAAACTAGGAAAAATGGTAAGCCTCTGTGTAGCAGGCTTTCTTGAGCCACCAGTCCCCAAATCATGACACAGAGACCTATTATTAGCAGTGAAAGCACGGCCTTAACTTAGGTTTGTTTCTACTAGCTCATAAATCAACCCATTTATATTGATCTACATGCTGTCATGTGACCCATGACTTTTACTTCTCCTCCTGTATGTCCTACTTCTTCTCAGTCTCCTCAGGCATCCTCCCTATGCCTAGATTCATCTCTTCTTTTCTCTCTGCCTGGAAGTCGGGCCTATCACCTCCTGCCTAGTTACTGGCCAGCCAGTTCTTTGCTAAACCAATCAGAAGGCACCTTGGCAATGATATATCTTCACAGTGTATAAAAAGTTTATCCCACAACACCTCTGCAGCAGGCTTTCTTCTTTTTTTTATATTTATTTATTTATTATGTATACAATATTCTGTCTGTATGAATGTCTGCAGGCCAGAAGAGGGCATCAGACGTCATCACAGATGGTTGTGAGCCACCATGTGGTTGCCAGGAATTGAACTCAGGACCTTTGGAAGAGCAGGCAATGCTCTTAACCACTGAGCCATCTCTCCAGCCCCTGCAGCAGGCTTTCTTGAAACACCAGCCTCCAAATCATGAAATGGAGACTTTTAATTATGAAAGCTCAGATTTATTTTATGCTTGTTTTGTTAGTCTTATAACTCTATTTAACCTGTTTCTCTTCAGCTACATTTTGCCTTAGGGCTTTTTACCTTTCATTCTGTATGTTCTACTTTCCTGCTTTGTCCACGGTGGCTGCCTGGCTAGGCTTGTAGGGAGCCACCTGGAGGCACAGGTGGTCCTGCAGTTTGGAGGTAGCCATGTGGGGCTGAGCACCCTTGCCTGCACCCTTGCTTGCACATGCTCAGACCAGCAGAATGGCATTAACCAATCAGGACAGCGTTCAAGCCTCTCCACCGTTTAAAAGCAGCTGCCTCGGGGCCCAACCCTCTCTCTCTAAGCTTTCTCTTGTCCCTGCTCTATCTTCCCTTCCCCCAATTTTCCTCAATCAAAGGGCTCCAAATAAAGACGTGACCAGGGAAGGAATTCTCGTTTTTAGTGGCGTTCATTCCTGCTGGTCAGGATGCGCCCCCCCTGCAACGGCTGCCCCAGACATCTTCCTCTCTTTCTTCCTCATTGTCCTCCAGCCTAGATTCCTCCTCCTACTCATTCTCTCTGCTCACCAGCCCTACCTATCTCTCCTCAGCCTAGCTACTGACTATTATTAACTAATATTATAATATTAGGTATTCAACTTTTTATTAGATCAATCAGGTGCCTTAGGCAGGCCAGGTGAAACAGCAACACATCTTTGCCTAGTTAAACAAATGTGGCATAAGCAAAATAACATGTATGGAGCTGGAGAGATGGCTCAGAGGTTAAGAGCACTGACTGCTCTTCCAGAGGTCATGAGTTCAATTCCCAGCAACCACATGGTGGTTCACAGCCATCTATAATGAGATCTGGTGCCCTCTTCTGGCATGCAAGCATACATGGAAGGAATGTTGTATACATAATAAAATAAATCTTTTAAAAAAACACGTTTTTACAAAGTTAAACAAATATTCTATGCCACATTTCCCTCTTTTTGTCTAAATAAAAAGGAGAGGTTTTAACATTAACATGGTAAACAGGGAGTACAGGGTAAGTCACTTCCAAAACTACAGAAATGACAGCGACATCTGGCTGTTTGGACAGTCACACCCACAGTTCTTCTACAACATTGGGGCATCTATCTTCAGCCTACAGGTCTAGAATATCCGGCAGATTTTTCTATGAAGCAGGAATTTAGAAGGACTGTTCTACCTTGTCTTTACAAAGTTTGGCAGTTGCTTTCCTCTGTATCCTGCTTGTCCAGTTTGAACAGTGTACTGTCAGCAGTTGAGGCAAGGGCAGTTTATTGCCCAAATAGCTATCTTTGCCACACTGAAAACAAACTCCATATGGAGGTTCTTGAATGCCTATCATTCTTTTGTGAAGTAGATTAGTGCTGCCAGGAACTCACATGTTTTACTGTCATGAAAAGCCTTAGGTTATTAAACATATTAAATGCCATATTCTGTAGGTCTCTGAAGTATTTGAAGATCACCTATCTAAAATATATGTCTAGTCTTGAACTATAACTACAAGTTTGATATTATATATGAGTAACTACTAACCTGTATTTTTTAATTATACATTACATTTTTAAATGAGCTGCATAAGCACAATATCCCAGACAAGAGTAGAAACATACATACAGTATAACAGAAATAACTTTAAATTTGTATCAATGTAGGCAGATTATATACCAAAACCCAAACCAATGAAAATATTTGAGGTTAACAGTTATCTTTTTATTCTGTATTTTTATATCCCCTCTAAACTATGACAAACACCCATAACCCACCAAATGAACAAACACTACCCACCCCACCACT